TGTGGTAGTAGGGGTATGGCAGGCAGTGTCTTCTGTAGTTATGTGGCACTGGAGGCTTTAGGAAAAGCCAGCTGACAGTAGAGTGGCATTTCTTTTCACCATTTCTTCTGGTGAAAATATTCTCAGATATAAGGGGGAGATCTCTAGCCTGTGAAGCACAAGAAACCTGAAAAAAAACTCCATCTCCTTTTTTATTTTTCCTGTTCTGATGCTCCTCTCTCACAAGTCTTCAGTGCAAATTCTCACTTCTTTTACATGAAAGCCATTTACTTTGAGACCTCTGAATCTAAGGGAAAGAGAATGGAAGAGGGGCCAAAGGCTACAGTTCTGTTTGAGCTGAGCTCCATGCCAGGTCTGGCAGCTGGCTTGGCAGTGCAGGTTGCCCGTCTGTCACTGCTTCAGCCTCCTCCATTCACCAGTGAGCCAAACACAAAACCCTTGGTGCCAAGCTCGTGTTCAAGAATGCAAGCACCAATAGACCTTCTTCATGTGCATCTTCTGCTGACACTGCTACCATATTACCACAACACATTCCATGCCCTGTGCACTCCATATCTTAACCTGCTAGAAATGTTTGAGATCATTTTCACACATACACATTTCCCTGTACTTCAGTATTTCGGAGCACACAAGGCAGGTAACAGATATTTAATAATAGATAATGGATCGTTTGGAAGGAATATCGGTTTATAATGTTTATGGTCCATGAAGACCTTGAGCAATTTGTACCAGGAATGGGAAATCAGGCAGAGACTGATACCAAAATGTATTCTACTGCTAAGATAAGACGTTTTACAGTGTGCCAGCTGCCTACTTCATAATTTCAGTAGCGTTAATTTATAGGGCTTGTGGTACTATTTGTGACAATAATAACTGCTCATACAGAATACACATGGAGAGATTGAAGAGCTTAAGTGATATTTTGAGGATGTGTGTATATATTATGAGTTTGGTTTTTATTTTATAAGGTGAATCATGCGTTTATGTCTCATATCTGTCTTCTGTTACAAGCTTGTATCCTATTACTTTTGCTTGAGTCTGAGTGTGTAGAGGGATTATTACCAGCCATCAGTAACTGAACAGTGTCACAGAAAAAAAGAAAACTGACCCAGTATATGTGTGCTTCTGTAGATATATTAAAAGTGAGAAAATAAGGTGGGAAACTAGAATGACAGATACTGAATAAGGACATACATATGCATGCTAGAAACTAGGTAATACTAGGGTTCATAAAAAAGAGAGAAGACTGTGCAAGAGGAGAAATAAAACCAAATATTAAATATAAAGTCACATAAAATGAAACAAATGGTTTTTACCTTCAAAGACCAAAAACTTGCTGGCATACTAGAAAGAAAAGAAATGCCAAGGTATGAATAGGATCGGCAACTACTCACCATCACTATTAGAATACTTCTAAGTCCAGAGGAGTTGCTTTTATAAAGAATTAAATTAATTGAGGTGAGAAAATCATTATGGAATTGCAGAGAGAAAAGTAACTGAGAAAGTAATACAGTAAATGTGCTAAAACCAGGAAAAAATGCACAGTACTAAGTGCTCCACTGAAGGCACCTTATTTTGTGCTATATTGCTATATCTCCAAACTTACACTGTAACCATCAAGTATCTGCAGAGAATTTTTATGCCTACACACAGAACTGGTATAATGAAGCAATCTTTAGACTCAAAATTAATTAGTGGCACACCTGAACCACCTTCTTTGCATGCTAAGATCTTGTAGAAAAGGACAGCAGGTCTTCAATGGCTAGGTGAACTAAATTCTGCGTAATGTACTGTCATTATTATGTTCAGGAACTGTACTGCAGTCACATATTGTAGTGTCATGATCATAGGTGGAGTTTAGGATCTTGGATGTACCCTTTAGGATCATGCACTGGTCAGTGCCAAGGGCATATTGGCTCCAGAATTATCTCTTATTCAGTTTGTCTTGGGCTGTTTACCAGTTTATCCCCATAACATTGCTAAAGGAGCTGTTGCACTGGAAGGAATGGAACTGTGGAATTGTGCAGCACAAGCTACAGAAGCATGCAGGAGTGAATGCCCATGAAGCAGCACAGTGTAAAATCTCTGCTGCTTCTGGTGCCTGAAACAACTGGGTTTGAGCTACCTGTGGCATCTCTGCAGTAGACTGCAAAGAGCCTTTTGGAAAAGGAGAAAGCAGGGGGGAAAACCAACAACCCACACCAGGAAGGGATGGTCAGAAGTATAAATAAACCCACATAAATCTGAGTCTGTGTTCAGTGACCAGGATATCCAGTCTTGGATACTTTCATCCTCAACTTCAGCCGCAGTTCACCCACACTGCAGGAAGTGCCTAGTCCACAAAACTCTGTCAGTCCAGTAATCTCACAGTTCACACAACTTAGAATGTTCTACAGAATCAGATGTGAAAGGAAACATGTACGACTGTACATGACCTCTGCTCAGTGATGCCCGGGTTCACAGTCACACATTTATGCTTTATGAACATTTGGATGCTCTAAAGCAACCAGTGGAGCATATTACAACATTCTTTTTAGTGAGTTATAACCCATAACCTTTAGTATTTTGGGATGGTAACAATTTCTAAAGGAAAATAATCTGATCCCATAATTTCAGTTCCCTCAGCAGCTTTTAACCTAATTTGTAGCTTTTGTTGGTTTAATTTTTTTTTTATTAAATGAACATGTAAGGATGTTTACTGGGTTAAAATGACTGAACTTTTACAAAAGGTAAATGAGTACCAAAGTTTTAAAATACATCCACCCAGCAGATCTTTGCTCTGGAATAGGGCAGTCTGTACATCCAAGGACATTCCTTGGGATTTATTTTAAGTCTTAGGTTTCTTTAACTTGGCAGAGTTGTTTAGCAGAGGTAGCCATGGAATGTTTAAAGGCGCTGAATGCATCAGGTGTGATTTGGCATAAAAGGAAAAGGAACAGCAGTGAGAATAGGGAAGGAGGGATACACTGCTCTTCCATTTGTTTTACATGATGCTGCACGGTACTACAAAGAGCTTACCTAAACACAGCTATGGCATTGTTCATTGGGAAGATTTTAATTTACCTTTGGAGACAGGTGAACTTGGGGGATGGGATGGGGGTGCAAACTGTGATTTCTTTAGGGGATTTTCAGATAAGAACTAGATCAGAGTAAGTAACTAGTTATTTACTCCTGAGCCACCGGCATTTTGCATTGCTAAACCAAGGAATACATTTCCATTATATGTATCCGTCCATTGCACTTTAGTCAGTGTGGAACAGAGCTATTTTCTCTCACCCTGGAAATGCAGTATACATTGCTAAGGAACTGAGTATTCACTTTTGTTCCCAGTTTCCTAGCATACATGTAGAAACTGCCAAAGTAGCAAGTACTACATCTCTGTGGGTAATTTTGTCAGGAAAAATTAAATAAGATATTACTCAGAGCATCCAAGTAACTGCTCAGCTAATGACTTGATGAGCTGCAGCAGTAGCTATTAAATGCACAGCTCGAACTGCTTAAGTACTTCAACTAAAACCCTTTTATATTTCTGAAAATCTCAAGCTAGATGCGAGTTTTAAGTGAAACTCCAAAAGACAATAAAAGAAATCTGTGCCTGGTAAAAGGTAGTCGCACTGGTGTTACACTACCTTTTAAATTTTTAATGGGGATTAACAGTTGAGAAGATACATCACTGATAGGAGGAAAGTGCTCTGATTTCCTCATGTCTTCTCCCATCCTCAGAGCAGAAAAGTAAAAGAGTTGCCAAGAATCTCATTTGCTCTTTCATTTCTAGCTTTACAGAACAGAAATGTGTCCACTGAGAATGCCACTGAAAATTTGCAATTAGTAGGGCAAACAGAAGAGTACTATTATGAACTTGTCCATAAGCACAAAAGGCACAACAGTGTTCCCCAATCTTTGTACCTGTAAATGAGAAATAACGTTTCAGAAGGTGGATTGAACCTTGTAAAATCTTAGCTACTATCACTTGGAAATACTGCAGTTCTGACAAGTCAGTTCAGTAAGATATATAATGTGATTTGAATATGTAAAAAGTAATTTAGTGAGTAATTTCAGTGCATTGATAAAAGGCATAAAATATCTGAAATACAAATCAGTCTGTTTTTCTAAAAAGAAAAAAATCAGTAAGTTATATCTCCAGCACAGAAAGCATGAAAACAATAATAAAGAAAGAAGCATTTTCCAGGGGAGACACACAGCAGTCTCTGAAAAGCAGAGTCCATCAATGCATCTGTGTAGGAAACCCAGCAACTACATTTCCCCTTTGCCGTATAGACACTACAGCTGTCCTATTCCATTGTTATCAGGAATACAAAGGTAAAGTTTTTTGTGATCTTTTTTCTTTGACAGTCACAAAGCTTTATTTTGCTTCAAGAAATCAGAAAAAAACCTGAGCACTTTGAAACTGTGTTCTTACCAGACTTCCAGATATGCACAGATGGCAATGTAAATAGTCTCATTAGTTAAAATCAGCAGGAACAAAGCATCTCAGAGCTGACTGTGAGAAAAGCTGTTAAAAACAGGTTCTGGAGTGATTTCTGAAGAGGAGGCAAATGCCTCTGCCATCTGCAGAAATACAGAGAAGAGGGAAATTTGAAATCCTCTCCCTTTACACATAATCTCTACAACTCCTTATCACTATGCATTAGAAGACTGGCTGAGAGATACTGTTTTCACAGCGGGAAGCAAAACCCTGAGTTGCTGTTACAGAGTAAGTATTGAAAGATGGAACACAGAAAGCAGCTGAAGTCAAACAGAGAGAGGAAACGCTTGTTATAAAAGAAAGCAGAATAAAAACAATGGAATACTGAAGAAGAAAGACCAAAGACCAGGAAACAATGTGTGTTAGGGAGAGATCCTAAAGAAGTGCAGAGGAGCACAATGAATGAACTATTGAGATCTTCACATCTCATCACTATGATTATTATCTCTGTATTTTTATTTTGGCAGAGAATCTGATCTCAATCTCTCACCCCTAAACCTTTCTCTTTTCTCACCTGTCCACAGCGATTGCTGTCATGGAGTAGATGCTGGCGAAGACAGCTGTGATTGGGAAGAAGTTGTGGAAGCGGCAGTAAGCCTCTCCAAAGTACCACTCGCTGTGCAGCGCATAGATGAAGTTGATTAGAGTATTGAAAGCAGCCATGGAGGCATCAGAGAAGGCCAGATTCACCAGGAAGTAATTTGTCACCGTCCGCATGCGCTTGTGAGCCAGGATAATCCAGATGACAATAAGATTTCCAAAAACGGCCACTGCCACCACACCACCATAAGCCAGAGACCACAGGGCAATGCGCCAAGAAGGTTGTACGAACTGATTGGAGAAGTTGCCTGCTGAGGAGGCTACAGGGGCAGAAGCATTTACAGCTGGTGCCTCCAGAGCCTTTCCCCAGGGATCACCTGCTTCAGCAATGCTCACATTCCACCTGCTGCTCATGTTCCACTTGGCTGTGGGGTCCGAAGTCATCTTGGGTGTTTCTCTCCTCTCCTCCAGGAATGATGTACCTCTCCAACCTCCCTCTCCCAACCCTCCCAAAACCCCACTAACAGATAAGAAGGGGGAAGTAAGGCAGCACAGCAGGTACTGGGGAGGAGAGCTGTTAGAAGAGATCTTTGGCTATGCTGTTCAAACTGTTAGAAATGCTCTAACAGACACGTCAGGAGACAGAGTTGACAGTATCCTGTTTCTCCTCTGTACATCCTCCTGCTTTTGATTTTGCTCAAGGAGAAGGGGACTGGGAGCCAAGGCACATTTTATAGGCTTGTGAGTTCCCAGCGTCACAAAGGGAGTGGAGCGATAAGCTCCATCGGCTGGTAAGCTAACACCTCTTTGCCTCTGCTCTCCCTCCCCTTGCATTTCATTCGTTGCCAGCAGCAGGCACTTTCAGGAGCTGTGGAAAGCATCACAGGGAAAATGAATTCTCATCTCGTTTATGTTGAGAGATTTGTTTTATATTGTCTTTCTTAAAGTTTCATTATTGTGCTTCCTTTTTTAAATAGCCTTTTTGCCCTGTATTTGTAGGGCTAATCAGCTGGCTTAGTTGAAATTCCCAGGACTGAGGCTGTCTTTTTATTAAAGCTCTTTCCAGATGAATTTATTCCAGATCAATTCAGAGCTGCTGTTTTGTTGCTCTATTTTCATTTAGTATACACTTTCTTTTAAACCGTTCTGTTACCTACAGATTTAGAATAGTGACTCTTTCAGACAAACAAATACATTCTGCTGCTCTCTAATTTCATTTTTCATTCTGTAATATGTAATTGATATCAAGAAACATTTAAAAAGCCTGTTTACTGCATGTTTACTGAAACAGTATGCAGCCCATAGGTGTCCCTAGTTATGGGCAAAATAATAGGGTTTTGTTTCATTTGTGTCTTTGGAAAAAAAAAATAGTTCAGTTCTTGTTTCTTATTTGCATTTATTTCACACTTAGTGCTATTATTATTTTGAGCAACCAATATTTTAATATGCAATGATTCCTATAATGGTCGAAAAGGGTAAATGAGGAAATTTAACACTCAGTGTTTTCACATCCAAAATCAGTTTTCTTGTTAATATGTTAACAACAGCTGGCATTAGGAATGCAAGGATTGATTGCAAGGGACTTCAACTAACAAACCTTTGTTATTCAATAGGCTGCAGTCTTAAGGGAGAAAATGTCTTTTAGTGCCAATCTTTCATGTTTCAACAGTTTAGAGCTACTACTTGTCATCAGCAGAGGTTTCAATTGTATCACAGCAGTGGAAGCTATTCAATGTCCCTATCAGCAATGACACATTCAGTACTTTTTAAACAAAAGCTTCAAACAAAAATCGAATACTCCTGTGTACCACTTCTCCCTGATGTATTTACCCAGTGGAAGCAGTGCCTGCACTTTAATTGTCAGGTCTTCATTGCAGTTTTAATTCGAATGAATGTAATTGTGGCTGTTTCCATATGAGCTTTTACCAATTTACCCCAGCCTAAGCAGTTGCCCATGTCAGGCTTAGAAGCTTTGCTGAAAACCACAGAAGCTCTGCTGTAAATCACCTTGTGCTACAGCACGTCTAGAACCCACCCATGCACTGCAGATGCTTGTAACAGGAAAGTCACTGGAGTTAATCCCACAGTTCCATTTTGAATTCTAAATCTTGCACCTGCCTCTTCTTTCTTCCTCTCCCTGGAGGCGAGCCTGAAGAAAGCCATTGCAGACAATCTCTGACAGTTTGAGAGATGAAAAATTTAAATGGTGGTTCCAAAGAGTCAGGAACAATGACTAGTTATAATAGAGAGTTGGACACTCAACTTTTGATTCTAGCAGCTTCACTCAAAATTTTCATATGGCTGAAAGCCAGAGTACAAACCCAGCCCTGTGCCCTATACCTTTCCACCTTTATGCCCAAACTAGGAACTCCAGACTGTCCTTTTACTAAGCTGATGTGTTTTTCATGTTCTCACACCAGTTGCACAGATGTCCCACATGCTTCTGTTGCTTCTATCCATCTCTCCCAACCTCAGCTATATTTTTCCTTCATCTCAGCAGAGACACAGGTACCTTATTTCTAGCACAAAGTACTGACAAGCGTGCAGTAGAGTGCAAACATACAGGAGCAGAGTCCTGTAGAGCACTGTGGTGACTTCCCCTGTATAGGAACATAAAGGATCTGTGTTCAAACCACTTGCTGTAGTTCATGGAATCACATTCTGTCTCAGGTTTCCCTGAAAAATATGCAATATCCAGTAGTGCTGTAAACTGGGGGCTGGATTTTGAGTTTGAAAGCAGGAGTCTAATTTCTTGTTCTGGAATGAAGCTTGTTCTAACTTTGTCATGAAAAATTGCTTGCCTTTGCATGCCAGGTGTTGAGGAGAGACCATTCCCATGTGTCTTGCCCTAATCATCTGTAGTGCCCCCAAGGGAATTTGTTCTCAATGCATTCCTAGTCACAATGTGAGAAGACAGAACAAGGCAACATCTTATGCTAGCAGAAGTATAGGTAAACTGAGTCCTTGCGACTTACTTTAAACACAAATCAGGGAGCTTTTTGTAGTCTGTGTTTGTGCGATGTCAGCCAGGCCACCAGCACAGGAGCGTCAGCTTTGCGGTGTAGAAATCAAAATGTCATTGATTCTGTCTTCCTCTTCAGAGGCACCCTGAGGAAATAAGCCATCCTTGTAGGGAAATTGTTATACACTATGCTCTTCTCCATCCCCTCTCCCCCATACGTGAGAAGAAAAACTGTGGGGTACCATTAGCATAAAAGGACAACCTAGATTTTTTTGTTAGCTCAGTAAGATGGATGGTATCAGCCTGCAGCATGTATTTGGCAGATGAGGTGGCTGAGTATCTGGAGTTGTTTTGTTTTGAGAAGTGGAAAAATGAACAGCACAGGACAAATGTTGGGCAGCTGGATCAGTCTCCCATGGTGTATATTTATGAGTCCTTTTGGAGATGACTGTAAAAATTTTCTAGAATAAATTGTGTAGTTCTGGCTTTCATTCTTACTGAAACCACAGAGAAGTAGTTTGGTACAATCAATTGGAGAAAAACCAGATTCTCCTACATCTGAAGGACTACAGCAAAAAAAAATAGGGTGGTCTGCCTTGATAACATTTTACTCAACTAAGTAAGAAAAGATTTTAGGCAGCCAGTCATTAATTGGATCTTACTTATAGAGGAAATTCACATATATAGTGACGTCAGCTGTGCTTCACCATCAAAATTTGTATTGATTACACATGTACTGATTGAAGTTTAGTCAGCTGAGGGTAATCAGCATTGAGTTTCTTAAAAAAGTTCCACAATAGCTTTGGTGAAAACATTTGTATTAATAACTTCTGAGTAGCGTAATCTGCCTGACTGGGATGCACTTGATGCAAACGAGTAGTACAAAAGACAAGTGATAGTAAAAGATTTTAAAATCATAGAAAATTCAGGGAGTTAGAAAGAAAGGCTTGGCAAGCCCTGGAAAAAGTAGGCCCTGGGAAATGTTAAACCTCATGCTTGCTAAGATCATGTGAAACTGCACCTGTGTAGTCAGTATATGATAAATAATATAATTGTTAGATGTGATCAGATATAATTATTGTTTAAAGAATCATGAGAAACTATGTTAGGGGTTTGAGGGGAATCACGAGAAATCCATGCTTGGGTAAAATCAATGCATACAATAGAACAATGTAAGTTTAATAATTAATATGTAAGTTATATAACAATACAGTATAAAAACATGTTCAGCTCAAAACCAAGTCGGGTCAGATCTGGGTATGTGTACCCCTGACACCCAGAGCTCTTTCATAAAGCACCTTCATATAATCATCCTGTGATTATGTCTTCCTGAATGCTAACACATGGATCAGTGTTTTTTCTCAGTCTCTCATAGAAAATAGAGAGTAACTTTGTTTTCTTCCGGAACTGTTACAGGTATGTGATTTCTTAGGCTAACTTTTCGCCATTCCAGCTTATGTATATTTGCAGTGGGAATGTTTAATTTCCCACTCTTTAAGGCTATTACTCAATTTTAGAGTGACTTTCTTCTGGTCATCTGTTATTTCCTGATGGTCATTTGCTCTTTTGCTTTTCCACTGACTGATACTTTGTGCTTGTGTGAAAGCATGTTGTACTTTTAAATTGTGGTTAAACTTGTCACTATTAGCAGCTCCCCAGCTTCACAGAAACACTAGGAAATCTAAAAAAAAAATATCCAAAGTGTGAATAGAAAACTAGCTGTGATTGTCTCTACTTCTTCCTTTGTGTTACATAGTTTGAAGCTGTTTTTTCACAGTTCCAGCTTAGCTGGCTCCTACTTAGCCAGAGTGGAAGCTAAGCTCCTGACTTAGCATCTTGACTAGAAGGTAGATTTAGAAGTTATTATTTTCTTAGATATTTATGAGATTATGATTTAATTTACTACAGATCTTCTGGTGTATGTGAAGTTTTTGTTGGAAATTGTTCTCCCACTAATTTTTTCTGTGTGCTATGGGAATGAGAGACAGAGAATATCATTGTTATTGCACAAGTAGGGATTTGTGGTAAAATAGCAGCCTGCACAGTATCTCTATTTAGCATGAGCGATAACTGCATCATTAAGAGGTTTTACAAAGCCTGTCCTCTGTCCTTTCTTTTGTATATAGAACAGAGGGCATTGTGAAGTTTACATTTGGTTTTGGATTGCTTGCTTAATTAGGCTTAGCCTAATAACCTCTTTCCCTGCCTCGTTCCTCCAGTGCCCAGCTGGAAGAAATGATCCTTCAGCAGGAGCTTCTTTTTATTCTTCAGCTTTGATATCTCCTGTTCATCAGTCAGTCATGAAAAGGTTTAGGTAGGGCAGCAGAATTTATGCAATTTAAGGATGCTCAGCACTGTCCTATTTATCATGGCTGTGCACTTGCATTGTGCTGCTGTTATGACAGTGCCAAACCACCTAGATTTTGAGCAGTTTGCTTTTATTTGTGTAGCTTAAAACACAGCTAGAAAACTCAGTTTGAACTTGGTTTCTGATAATTGTTTATGAATGCAAAAGTCTTATTCCTGTCACCAACTGCAAATGACTCAGTAGGATATTTAGCAGCTTCACAAGCATACAAATAAGGATGTTGCAGCAAAGGGGAAAGACCAAAACCAGAAATGTAGTGTGTGGCTCTTCATCATGGCTAGAGGGGGCCAAAGAGTGAGGAAAATCAGAGCCAAAGAACTGATTAAAGACAGGTTTTCTTCTGGAAGCTGATGCTGAGATGCAACTCCACTGGAACTATTTTTAGAATAAAGTAAAACTCAATGTGTCTAGAGATGAATTGTGAGAAACAAACAGTAAGTAGAAATTAAGACTATTTTGAATTTCAGATAATACTTACAAATTAGTTTGTACGAGAAAACTTTTTTCTTCCTGGATGAAAGATTTCTTCAGCTATTGCGAGTTTGATGTTCTGATCCTCCTGAAAAGCTAAATTTATGTGTTTTCCATTGCCATCAGCATAGTTGATCCTTCAGTTCCTTAGCTGCTACACACAGGACATGACTGAGGGTGCTAAATCGCTGGCATGGTGAGGTGCCTGTGCCAAAATGTAATTTGAAGGGCACAGTCGTTCTGTGAAAAGTAATTCTTAT